CACTGGGGGAGTCACTGTTCCCCCGAGCACCGCCAGGAGCAACAAGGAATAACGGTCACAACCTGGCAGAGGGTAGGTTTAGGTTGGACATCAGGAGGCGATATTTCACAGTCAGGGTCTGGAACCAACTTCCAAGAGAGGTGGTGCAGGCTCCGACCCTGGGGGTTTTTAAGAGGAGGTTAGATGAACACCTTGCTGGGGTCGTTTGACCCCAGTACTCTTTCCTGCCATGGCAGGTGGTCGGACTAGATGATCTGCTCAGGTCCCTTCCGACCCTAGAAACTATGAAACTATAAAAGAGGAGGAAATAGTTTGTGGACCTGCCTCCTTTTTAGACAAAGAAAAGGAGAGTTATGGTGCCCCTCAATAAAAAAAAAAAAAAAAGCAAAACCTATTTAAATCATGAATCTAGTATTTTATCCCCGTTCTTAATGGGATGGTATCAAGGATGGTGCTTAAATAATTGGCTTTGAGTGAGGCATTCCTTATACTTTCAAGTACTTTTAGGAATGTATTTGTCTCTGGAGAACAGTTCATAGTGAAGGAAGACCAAGTTGTAGTTAGAACTACAAGTACATGCTTGTACAAGACGTACAAGTTATGTGCTTAAACCAGTTTAAGCATGTGGGTCCCAATAGATTGTATTAGCTTCAGAGTGCTTTGTGACAGGGAATTCTTTTATTACGTGCCAACAGCACCTATCTCAATTACACCTTGATCTTAGATTGGGGTCTTCTCATGAGAGGCTCTCCACCTAGGAATGGCAGGGATGCAGCAACCCCTCCGTTGCTAGATAGGTGAAATATTCCAGGTACCTGAGGGAGCGTCCTGGGGTCATCCTGATATACAGGGGAGTCTGATAAGAAATATGTTTAAAACTGCTGCTGTGTTGGTGCTCCTGCAGTACAGATAAAATATCAGGCTCTACTTTGTTTTGCCAGGAAGATCCATGCTGCAGCCTAGACTGCAAAACAAACTTTTCATTTCTCTGCGTTCTTTCTTTCCTAGAGCTCAGATCTCTTTGCAAACATTAATCAATCCTTATAATCCCTGTGAGATATGTAAATAGTAGTAGCTTGAGGCACAGATTTATTTATTGTGCAACTGTGGACAACTCGCAACCAAGAAGTGGCACGGCATATTAGAACCCAGGAGTCCTTACTTCCAGTTTCAAACATTTCCTGAACTGAAGCTCTGAAAGCAGTTTGTTAAATATACCTATAGCTATTCAGTCTTGGGCCTTCCAGCTTCGAATGACCCTTAAGTACTGTTGCATAGAAGACTGCAGTTATTAGAGACATCAACCTACATGCATCTCATTTAGATTCCAAGTGGTATTTTGATCTGCGACCCACACATGCAGCTGAAACCTTAGCAACAGCCAAAGGCATAGGGTGTGCTGAGAAGTCTGTATCGATTGTTCAAGGTGCATCAAAGGAAACATAGGTTATGGGTCAAAGTACATTACGGCCTGATTCATAAAAAATGCATTTCAGTCCCCAAACCAAAGCATTCACAAGGCAGCATTTTTGGGTAGTGTGGGCAAAGAAATGAGGCTGCTTTTTGAATGAGATGTGAAACTAAGACCCTTTCAGTATAGATTCCATGGCAGTGTATTTAGTAAAGTAGTTACTCTGCTATTCTTGGTTTTGTAACCCATGGGCTGGGTCAAGGCAGTCCAGTCCCTATAAACACCATAAAATAGGGCCCCTCTAGCCCTCTTGCTACACTCCTGCATTGTGGTCCCATCTATACCTAGTGTAGTCCCAGGAGGAGACTTCCCCCAACCAGCAGGGGAGGGAACAAGCAGCAGGATGGGATCATACAGTCAACATCTCATTGAGATGCATGGGATGGTTCATTCCTCCCACCGCTGGTTCAGGCTTTGTGCAGAAGAGGAAGTTCCAATGTGATAACATGACCCAACAACCTAGAGCATAGAGATGCTACAAGTCCAGGACTAAATTTGACACTGTCCCAGTTCCAACTTCTGGATTCAGCCTTCTCGTTGCAGTTGCAGTTAAAGTTAGTCTTTATTTTCTTTTCTAAAAGTTGTTCTTGCTCATGTAGAAAGTTTGCAAGGCATCCACTTCAGAAAGTTCTCTCAGTACTGGGCAAACAATCCATGTATCCAAGTTTAGGGAAATGGCAGGGGTTCAATCTGATGGAAAGGAACTGTGCAAGTAAGAGCAGTATTTCACTTTTCTAGATCCTTGGCACACAAGGGATCCATTTGCAATACAAGGATTTGTTTGTAGCCATTATTGTGCTGTTACATCCTTGTGCATCCTCCTAGAAGTTTGTCCCTAAGTGTTATTCCTTAAGGGGTGGGGGCAAATTATTGTCTCAGTTAATAAATATAGCTACTCACAATTTTATGCTTGGACAGTCCGAAAGCACATCAACTATATCTGCTTCAAAAAATCAAGCCAGATACAATAGTTCTTCTTTCTTTGCCTCCCCCCAATCACCCTTTGAATTCTAGGAAAACACTGCAGTTTCTTGAATACGTTTTTGCTGTAGCCGTTGATAAATGCTGACTTTTTCATGGTAGCCTGCATCTGTGTGTTCCCACATAAGATATCCATGGCTATGTGATGAGCACCATTTGTTAAAGGATTCTGTACTTTATCATCATTTAAATATTCATATTATCCCAGTAACTGGAGGTACTATTTGCTAAACATAGCAAGACAGAAATCCCCCTGGAGCTGTGACAGTCTAGTTATGCCTACAACATACTGCTCCATCTCTCACAATGCTCACCTTCCAGGAGCGTGTATGATGATCACTGAGCTATCCCCAGTGACATCCAGGTGCTTCCCCTGAGCAGTGAGTAACTTGAGAACCCGGAAATGGGCATAGGAGATTCAAACCATCCCTTCTAGAGCATGTCACTACTGGGCATCTAAGGACCCTGAATTACCTCTACTTGGTCACTGAGCTCTTAAGTCCCCTTCCAGTCTTCTCTAATCATCAGTAAATATTGTGCCACCTGCATATTTTATTTGGAACAACCTGACTATCTTAGTCCTGGCTCCATACATCCAGGTAGTACGGCGGTTGTTAGCTCATGCCAATAACATCTTTCTTTGTGCTAAATCTTCCCCCCTTTGTTCTCTCATTTATACCTGGGCATATAATATCTCTAGACATATAGAGAGAAGCACTTGCTTGTTTTCAGCTATCCCAGATCCAGTTTCAGGATGTTTTGTCAACAGTTTACCTTAAGTACAGTGCTCCTACTGCCAGTACTGCAGGGGCTAATAGGACTGCCAGTTAGGGTTGTTTCATGTTCCCCTTACAAAGCCTCATTTTCAGATGCTTGTTACTGACAGATTTGGGCTAGTTTAGCTGAAGTTTCCTATGCCAGGTGTCTGCCCCAGGCTGAATTTCTGTGAAAAATTTCTGCCACAACAGTTTAGCCATTTCTAGTAATAAAATAAATTATCCTAAAAATGATTGAAAAGGAAACCCATCATTCGGACAAAGGGAACAAATGCTACTGCTTTCCCATTGTCAAAGACAAATCTATTAGATGGTGCTAGAATCCACTTTCATTTGATCCAAGTTCACCACAGAAGCTTGAGTATAACCCTTGCAGCATGCCCATATCAGAGGCCTACTCAAGATATATTTAAAGAGAACCAGTTTTCACAGTATCCAAGTCCTAATGATAACGTCTGCACACTACACTGCACGTTCCATTCTTTAAAGGTGGCATGGGCAGCATCTATGTGGCATGTTGCACATTGGGGAGGGGGCAGGCAGTGCAGTGGCAGATAGGGCAGAAAGCAGAGCAGCAGGGGGCAAAAAAAGAGTGGTGGATCAGGCAGGGGAAGGGGATTGGAGTGGTACTTGGGGAGGGTATAGGGTTTAAACTGTGGCATGTCTGCCAAAAAAGGCTAGCCCCCATTGCTTTAAAGAAAGCACCTAATCTGTATATAAAGCAGGGATTTCCCAACCGCGACTGTTAACATGTCCTTTGATAACTATTTGTCCAGGAATACAGAATGTATCATAAGGTGGCAATGTTGCAATGCCACAGTATGATGCAGCAGCATGGCATCCTCGTCTGACCATGTGACTCAACATCACTTCCTGGACATGAAGTCATTTTGAAGATGCAGTTTCGTAAGAACGCAGGCTATTGTGTACTACATTTTACAAGACCAGGACAAGTTTGCTGCCATGTGAAATATGGCCTCCACTATTCAATGATATACCTTCAGAGTGTAAGTGTATAATTCCTTGATTATGTATGTATTCTATTTGTTTTCTTGCTATTTTTTTTCCTGTTTAAAATGGAGAACCAGGTCAGCCTGTGTTTCGTGGCCTCTTTTGTTCCTCTAAGCATTGCGGTGACAGGTCAGAAGCCTCTCTCTATTTGTGGCTGTTCAGGTTGCTTGAACTTTCAGCAGGGAACAGGGTTGCACTTTTTGCCAACCCAAGTGAAATGGCATCTTATGGGATGGTTTTTAGCTTTTATTGTTTGGCATCTTATTATTTTATGCCTGTTTCTGTCTAAGCTAACTGCACTTGTGTAAAGATCACCCCAAAAGGAAATGCCAGCGGGGTATTTGACTACATGGGAGACAATAAATGGAGGGTGACTGAAGGGACCCCCATGCAAAGGCTTCCTGCTCTCATTTGTCCTGGCTGAAGAGGTTCAAATGAAGTTCCCTTAATGTTATTTCTTATTCTACATTTCTCTTTCCAGGGATTAAATCCATTGCCTCTGTTTTTACCTCAAGACACCAGCTTTAATAGTTCACAAGAGGAGATTTGAGGCAGAGTATTATTTATAAATATGTGTCTTGTCAGAAATGGCTGCATTTTAGTGGCAAATGTTTGGGTGAAATCCTGGCTTCATTGAAATCGATAGCAAAGGCCTTCTCTGACTTCAGAGGACACCAGGATTGCCAGATAGAGGTCAAAATGGGCCCCAGGGTTGGTGTCCAGAGCTGGAATAGGATTAAGATAGGGTCTAGTTCAAGCCTCGGTCACATTTTAATGGTTCGGTTTAGCAGCACCAAGATCTCACCAGTTGATCAGGGAAGACTTTTTGGTCCCAAATAATGGAAGTTTCCCCAGTGATAACTACTTTCAATAGACTTGTGCTACATTTGACCCAGCAATGGAAAAATGGTTCTCTACAATTTTGTGTCTGACCCAGGCCTGTAAAAGAGAAGGGGGCAGGATGGGCATGAATTGCAGATCCTAAGTGGGTTAGATGTTGGGTTATGGTTTTGTGTCATCTCAGACTGTAAGTAGAGAGGTCTTTATTTTCCACTGCTTTCAGAGTTAGTGTAGTTAGTTAACTGAGCAGAGCCAGTGCTCTCATCCCATTTTGATTCTAAACCATGTTAATACTGATTTTGCTCAGCTCCATGGTTTTGATTCTAGCCCCACATCTGCTTAAATCAGTTTGCCTAACTAAATATGCTTTCCAAAGTACACACAGAGCTGAATACAGATCAAGGTACTATCACAAGGGCTGTCTAACAGACAGTGATTTGATGATCCATTACAAATAGCTAGAAGGGAAAAACCCTATATGAATGCTTGAAATGACCATGGTTATGTGCATTTTTTTTAAAGTACATCTCTTGGAAAACCTTTTAGAAAGACCACCATCTGTGAATTGCAAGATGGGTCTAGCTCTCACAGTTGATGGAAGGCCCCTTCTTTTTAGAGTGTACTCCATTTAAACACAGAGCCTTGGGAAGCTCTCCATTTACCCAGGGTATGCACTTACCCAAACTCAATATAAACAGTGCTTATTAAATACAGAGCACTATGGGATTAGGGGCCCCGGAACTGACTAGCTCTCTTCATTTTCAAGGCTAATCAACAGTTTTAGAGCTGCTATTGGAGAGAAACAAAGATTTTACTAGCTTCTGTCATTTTCAAGGCTTGTAAATATCAGCCTGGAGAGCTGCTGCATCATCACGGTTTCTGACTCAGTCAGTTAAAGGGTGCCATTAGTTACAAAGTAGACAGAATTTGTATGCAGTGACCCAGGTACAGTTAAGCTATAAAATAGACAGTGAGGCAGAAAGATGTGAGGCATGTAAGGGGTTTATGTATTTAGATATACAGATAACCTGGTTGTGTTTCAGCATAAGCAAAAGATGATAAATTGGGATGAACATCATTATGCAGTTAATTATGCTCTTATCGTCTCGTAATCAATTATGTTTAAGTGGAACATCATAGGGAAAAATGTAATTCACTATAGTAAAGGGATGTAGGAGTGGAAGCCAACAAGTTGTTGGAGAATGGAAGAAGTTTACAGGTAAAGACTTTGTTCTAAATCGGTGGCACAAGAGCCACAAGCGGTACAGGCAGCCTTTGTGTGTGGCTTGCAGCAGATGGTGGAGGGGACAGACAGACAGCACAGCAGCAGAAAGCAGGCCAGGAGATTGGGAGGGAGCCCAGGACAGGAAGTAGAAAGCAGAAGAGATTGGTCAGGGGGCACAGAGAAAGGAGCAGAAAGCAAAGCAGCAGACTTACCAGAGGAAAGAGACCAGAGTGGCAGTTGGGGAGGGTATGGAGCTAATTTGTAGTACATCTGCCAAAAAGGTTGGCCTCCACTATACAAAATGATTAAAGGGTTTTTTTGCTTTTGTTTTAATCTATAGTAATCCTGGGGCCTGATATGTTAAAAGCAAAATCTCAACCAGTTAAGCTAAATGTAGCAGTTCCTCTTGGTGGTAGCAGTTGTAGATTTATCCTTCAATGTGATCTGCCTCTAGTGCAGGATTAAAAGAAAAAATAAAGAATATGTAACGTTTGTGTATGGTAGGGTCTATTTTGCTTGGGGAGGAAAAAAATTGCAGACAAAGGGTACATCCGAATGCAGAGATCCTGGGGCTAGCTGAGCAGTATAGCTGTCAATATGGCACTGTGCCTGAGCTAGTATACCCTTCCCTGCAGACCTAAGTAGTTCAGACAGGGGTACTATAGTAATGCTGCTGTCCTGCTTCTGGTACCCAAGCTAGTTTGGAGGTAGTACAGGTGTCTCTCCACGGCACTGCATTGCTCTGGATAGGCACAGTTTTATGAGTCATCGTGTCCTCCAGCATTTGCAAGGCCCATACTTGTACTAGTAGAAATACCCAAGCGTTCTTAGATGATTAGAAGAATTTGCCCAGGTTTCCTAATGATTTGGATTAGTTTTAAATGCACTTGCCACTCCACAACACAAACATTATGAATGGAGCATCAATTCAAAATGACACAGCAACTGAACCTGGTAAGATCAGGGTATGCTCCCTGGTGATAGATTAGCCCTTTAACATACCAGACTGAGCATAAAGCACCCTTTAGGAGAGGACTGTGAGCAAATCACTTCAGGTGGGAGAGGGGGAGAGTCTCTAAACCAATTCCAGGCTTTTTTTAAGCTTCCCTGATTTTCTTAGAGAAGCCTGCACCAAGCATTTCATAGATGGCGGTGTCACAGAAAGCTGATAAATACCACTTTTCACTGTAGCTCTCAAAAGCTTATCCTGGCTAACAAATGTTATCACTTTGGCTTCCCCTTATCTGGTGCCCCACCCTGCTCTGTACAGCTTACATATTATCACTCCTTGAATTAGGATCTCCACTCAGTGACCAACAGAAGCCCTGTAGGCTTCATAGTAACACTGGTGCCTGAAAAATAGAGGGCTTCAGCTGTGGGAAGAGTTAGGGGACTAAACAGTTTCACTTGAAAAAGGGTTTATTAAAATAGCATTTTGCTTTACAGGAGTTCCCGACTGCTATGAACCAGCTTCACTGAACAGCTGAGCTACAATCCCATCATCTGCATAAACAACACAACCCTGAACCATAACCTGGGGAAATTAAGCAGCCCATCTGAAGCCAGACTTTTTTGCAGGGGATCTTTGTCAGCAAAGTTTTGGTTAGCACATGTATTGCCTCCCAAATCTAAGGTAAAGCAGTGCCAGGAACTTTCCTGAAGCACTTATCTTCTGTGCCTGAACATTCACGCAGTATCTTCCTAGTGCATCACTGAAGACCCAGATCTTCTGCGACCTAAGAAATGGAAGCACTAGAAGTGGATGACATCAGCCCAGCCTTGGAGGTGACTGAAGATTTCTTCAACAGTTTTGATACCAAGCTCGAAAAGATAGTGCAGCCATCTGAAGTGTATGGGGTTCAGGAGGTCCCTGAGCTGGTAGGACATGAAGTGTTCAATCAGATCAAAGACAGCAGAGATCTGAGAAATGTTGCTTCTTTAGCAAAAAGCAGCCTTATTTGGGAAGGCTGCAAGAATGGCCTCTTGGAAACCAAAGCTCCAAAAGCATTCCCTGCCAAAGAATCATTTACACTACAAAGGGGCACAGCCCCAGACAACCTCTCCTGGGTGGAGCAAAGGGAGGCCTCCACTTTTAACATTTTCAGTATCTGTCAGCGGAGAAGAGATCGACCCCGGTCTGTGAATGATATCCTGGTGCAAAATGAGGAATCTGCTACTTTTAAGCCAGGGCACAACCGGTCACGCTCTGATATCAGCCACATAGACTGGGGGCTTGTCTTCACGGATGCAACTCTGCAGCAGCAGAGTCAGGGTACCAACTGCACCAGAGTCTCCTTCCTCTCAAACAAGGGGGAGGACATCCAAGGGAACACTGGTATGTGCCAAGATGTTGGGAGCTCCACTGAGGTTGGGTTTTTGGTTTAACAACCTCCTGAAAGATAGACTGATAGGCTAAAAGTTGTGAGCTAGGCATGCAGCTGGTGTAAACAGGCATAAAACTATTGACTTCAGTGGAGCTTAGTTAGCTGGCCCCATCTAAGGATCTAATTTTTTTTAAATCTAAGAAAGAACCAAGAGTCAGATTTTAAAACGTGTGTTTTCTTTTGTGTCCTCCCCTCCTGCCTTCATTCGCTGTGTTAAAGTAAGCTAAACCACTGGGATTCATTTCTACCAAAGGGGTCAATTTCTGATCTGTTGTGTTGTTATCTGGTTCACCCCTACTAGCACAATCTGGATTGGCTTAGCCATTCTCCCAGTGGGCTTGCAAACAAAAGCAGTTTTCAGAGAAAAATCTAAAGGTACATTTGAATCATTTAACTTTGTAGAGAGACCCATGCAAAGCCTGATTTTTAGGCTTAAACTACTGTGTACTGTTTTCTTAAGAAAGATGGCTACCCAGTTCACAATTAACAAAAACTCCAGAAGGCTATTTGTGCTAGTCAGTATTAATACATCTCTGCCAGCTTTGCATGGGATACAGGAAGTCTTGTTATCAGATTGACACAGATCTTTTGACTGAGCCACAAGTGAAGTAACATTTCAGCAAGCTGTACATTTTCCTTTTCCTCTCTCAGGCAGAACATTGGAAGAAATTTTGCTGTTGTCTTCAGAAACACCAAGTTGGTGTCTTCTGCTTTATTATTTATTTTACAGGTGCCAAAAGTGTATTGGGTGGTTCTGGAAAACACAGTCCCTGCCACAGAGCTCTGACTATCTAACCCAGGGGTGCTCAGCCTCCAGCCAGTAGGCCAAATACAGCTTGTGGAGCAATTGCATCTGGCCTACAGGGTTCCCTGTGAGTTGGAAAATGTGGTGGTGGGGGAGTAGTAGCCATTGTCCCCCGCTGCCAAATTCCCATACCTCCAGCACAGCTGGATCTGAACCAGGTCATACCTCCTCTCCACGCTGCTGAGTAGGGGCCAGGCTATGCCCCCTTCCTCCCCACAGGGCCAGATCAGGCTGGGCTGCCCCTTGACTCCCTTTGTGTAGCCAAATGGGGCCCTGCCATGCCCACCCTGAGCACCACATCAGGGCCACATCTGGCCTATGGACAGACCAGGTACTGCCCATCCAGCCCATCAACAGAAAAGGTTAAGCATCACTGAACTAAACAATCATACAACTTAACTGGTTTAAAGAAAAACAAAGAGGAATGGAAAGATGACAAATGGCCATAATAGCCAGGCTGTGGCATTTTATAGGGTTAAAACATACCTTAGGGCCACATTATTCAAAGAGAGAGCAGCTCCTTTTTAAGCACCAAAATAAAGGTCTAGCCCGTAAGATGCATCCCTCCATGTTGGGGCAGAGCCCCCCTGCCAATCTACCTCTGGGAAGTCTGAGGAGGTATTCTGCCTTCAGCGGGTTCTCAGCTCAGAGGGGGAACATATTGAAGACTACATCTCTTTAGGGATTACATCCTGTTTCCCATTGGTTGCTGGTCCTGTTTCACCTTGCCTCCTCCCAGCTTTTAGTGGAGGGAGCACCCATGGGAACATTGGGACAGATCTGCCTATGTTCCCCTGTGTACAGAGACCTATTCCATCTTGTTGAAAGATGGGTTAAAACCAGGAGCAAGGAGGTTTTCATGTGCCCACACAACAGCCAGACAGTCTGGCGTTTACTGGGCAGTGCATGTGCCCCGATGGCATTTTAAGTTGCCATTTTTCCCTTTCTACCATCTCTTTTTAGGGTGGAAGATAAGATAGAGGCTGGATGAGGCCAAGGTTGAATCAGAGTGGCTGACCCTAGCAGATGGACAGAGGGAGACAGACAGGAGAAGGGAGTCCAGGAGAGGCCAAGGTTGAGCCAGGGCAGCCAAGCCAAAGTAAACAGACAGGGGGAGATGGAGAGAGACACTGACAGAGACACTCTGGGTACCTGGGAGAGCACCGGTGTGGGCCCAAGGAAGCCTACAACTGGTCCTTACAGTAGGAGGCAAAACGGTTTCTCATATTTCTCCACCACATGCTGTAAACCAGCGGGTTTCAACATTTTTGGATCAGTGTACCCCTGGCAGCTGGACATAGAGTGGTGGGAGGTGGGGTGGCATGCAGCCCAATGCAGAGTGGTGGCAGTCGCCGTGTGCAAGCTTCCCCTGCACCCCACATCTGGCTGGGTGGGTGGCACCTGTGTAGCATGGTGCGTGGCAGCACTCCATCCCTGCTTGCCCACACATACCCCCTAGGGCCTTCTTAAGCAGCCCAGTTGACAACCCCTGCTGTAAACAAATCAAAAAACTATGTGATGATTGGCTCAAGCACCAGGGACTAGCTACAAATCCAAGGTATTCCTGGTGAGCACAAATATCTGACATCCAAAGCCTGATTTAACCTGAGTTGTTTCCATATCATTAAATTTTATATCCCCCTTTCATTTAGGTCGGTATGCTTACCAGGATAAATACAATTTTATCTGCATAGCTTATTTCCTTAGGGATAAAAGAGGACAAATTGTACTAGTATCTGAGACACTTTTATACCAGCCTCACGGCATCTGGCTTTACCAGTATAGTTATATTGGTTAAAACATGAAAAAATGAAAAACCTCTCACTCTTATGTAAAATAATTATATTGTGTTTAGACCAGACCTTACCAATTAAAGAAATAAGTTTTTGTCACAACTAGAGGTGCACTGATACATTGGTTGCGTGTTGGATTGGCACCAATAAAAGGGAATTTTACATCATCGCCTATAGGCCTTTTTTGGCTGTTGTAGCTGATAATGTTCACTGATAATTATGCCTTCTGGCTGGGGCCCCTGGGTGCTTACGTTTCTTCCCGTGAGCCGGGGATACACCCCCATCCCCTTACCGGCGGGCTGGACAGGAGCAGAGCAGCTGCCGCAGTGTCCCCAGTGCTGGCATGGCAGAGACTGCAGGTGGGGGCTGGGGAAGGCACTGTAAAAGGTACCGAATGCCACAGACATGATTGGGGTGGGGTGCAGAGGGGAGGGCAGAGCTGAGCTGCCCAGCGCAGCCCAGCATGACTCAGTCTGCTGTTAATATCAGTTATCGAATCAGCATCAGCCAATATGGCTGGTTAAAATCGGCTATTGGTATCTGCCAAGAAAATCTTTATCAGTGCCCCCTTAGTCACAATATTCAGTCCCTGGCTTTCCCTTAGCTTTAGTTCCAAGTGAAGAGGGTTCAGGTTAACAAATACTTGGACGTTGATTTGAAAATGTAAGGTGTTATTAGAGGGAGTCCTCTTGCTCTGTAACAGTGCAGCCTAGGAGCAGGCCAAGGAAGAACACACACAGCTAGCAGGAATTCTCTTGGAGGCCTGCGGGCCATAACAGATACCAAAGGTGGGTCTCCAGATAGCCGCTCCTGATGGAGAGTTTCTCCTTCCTTTTTAAAGCCTCTCATTTTAAGCTCTATCTTATTTCCCACTGACTGCCAAGAGATGGGATGTTTTCTTTACCTCTGCGCAAATCTTTGTGAGGACATTTCACTAGAATTGTTTTGTTCTTTTTTTTGTTTTTTTCTTCTTACCCAGAAACCTTTGCCATATATACAGTAAAATCTAGTTAATTCTTCACTGCCAGGTGGTTGGTAACATTAACTAATAAGCTGAAAATGACCAATTAGCAGTAGTATACCATTTTTAACTTTTAGTTGCTTGTGAAGTATACTCTGCATGCTGTAAAATGATTCAGGAGAGAGTGATTTAAAAAAAAATAATAATGAAAAAAATGTTACAAAAATTATGAGGGCATATTTTGTACACTCTGGCTTGCTAATTGAGCATCATCTTGTTATACAGATAAATGCTTCATGTACAATATCTTACTAGAATTCAGGGTACTCCCTATGCAAGTTGCATACTCATTCAGGAGTACAATAATCAGTCAAAGACTTTTGCTTTGCATGCTTACATGCACTCATTGCCAAAATAGAAGATAATTCTCCAAAATGAAATAATTGATCATCAAGGTTTTACTAAACCAGAGAAAGCTGGAAGATATCTAGTGTTTTGCAAGCATCAGCTGACTTGATAGGTGCTATAGAGGGCAAGGGTCAGTACCTTTTAAGTCAACCAATTATTAGGAGCAAATTTTATTGTAAGAGTGTATGTGTACATTTGCAATGAAGTAATCATACTTTACAGGTGATGCATTATGGCACTAAATCTCTGCCAGAGTCCTAACTAAATAAGACCCTAGTGAAAAGTTATCCCAGTGATTTGACTAATTAGCCAGAATTTCCTGTATTTGCTGCCTCCCTTCAGGTGCAAGGTTCTCAGCATTGCTTCTTTCCCAGTCAGGGCACTAGAGGCATATTTTCCACAGCATCAGTATGGACCTGTCTGCCTAAGGCTCATGTAGAGCTGCTGTCAATAAGATACACAGTGCTACAAGTAGGAGAGCAGGGTTTTCCCACCATGTGTTAATGAGGCCTGTCAGTATATACCCACCCCAGTAATTTGGTTTCCCTTTAGATAAAAGGAATTTATAAGTCACAGACACATGAGATTCCCAGGCCAAACAATTCATTGAAAATTAACAGATTCCCCTAATACCAAAAAGATGCCTACTCACCTTCACTTCTAACTGAGAGTCTACATGCTGGGCCAAGGGCCTGGCTTTATAGCTGTTCTGTTCCCAGGATTCCCAGTGGAGGACCAGAACAAGTCACATGATAAGCTAAGCCCAGTGAAGTAGTCAAAAGCCTTAGCTTCTCAAAAGTTACTGTATACTGAAGGTAATAGTTGCAGAAAAGTTGTAGAAGAGGAGAATTGAGCAAGGCAAGGCAAGGGAACTGCATTAAGTAGAACTCCTAAGCTACATTTCCCCCAAATTTCTGCTTGCTATGTTCTGGCCCCGTGGCAGTTGGTGTCTTTAAGTAACTCAGTCAGAATCTAGTTGTAGTT